GCGGCGCCGGGGCTGGGGGTAGGGCGGGAGGGGGCGGGCCGCACCCCGCCGAGTCCTGGGCTCCTGGGGCACCGCGGGGTCTCCCGGAGACAGATCCGCCCTGAAATCCTAGGCGGCCTCTCTCTGCCCCACTCCACCGAGCCGGTTCACCACGCCGCCAGGCCCGAGCTCTGCCGCTACCGCCAGTGGTCTACACCGTGTAGGGTTATTTCACGTTTCTCCATTCGGATTCGCAGTTCTCTGAGTTTCGCCCGGCGCCACCTGCTAAGTTGGACAAGTCCTTCACCCTCCCCAAACCTCACTTTTCTCGTCTGTAAAATGGGATGATCACACACGGGGTGCGTGCTGGAGATAGGGAATATTGCCACGCCCATCGTCCCAGAACAAGGGAGGCTGAGGCAGGGGGATTGCGGGTTCAAGACCAGCCTGGGATACACAGTGAGCCTCGCCCAAAAATCTAAGGCGGGGAGGACCTTGAATGCCCGACTGACGGATAGGTGTCTAATATGGGTTTTTGTTATTTCTGAGACAGGAAACATCTTGGAGATGATGTCATCTCCCCGAAGTCACCTAACAGGTAAATGACAGGCAGTCCCAGGTCTTCGTACCTTGTCACAGAGCCCTGAGATAGGCTGTGCGGCGACGCTGACACTGCACTCAGGGAGCTCACTGATTAAGGCAGAGTCCATTCCCGCTTACCTAATGCTAAGACAAGACAGAATGGCAGTGTCACCATATGATGGCTTCCGGTCCCATGAAACACCAGATACCTACCCGATCTTTACAACTAGGCTGGCCAGTGCCACTGTCCCCACCACAGGAATCAGACACTCACAGATGAAGTTGCTTGTGTGACATCAAACAGCAGTGAATACGCTCGTCCTCCTGACTGTGTTACTACGAAAGCACAGAGGTTGGACCAGTGTAATCAGAAAGGCTTCCCAGAGGAGGTGACTTTAATTGGGGTTTCAATGGGCAAATAGGAGTTCTGAAATTTAAGGAACAAATAATGCAACCAAAGAGAAGTCCATAAGCCAAAACATAAAGGGTAGAAGAGCCCAACAAGGACTCTCCTAGTCCAGCCAGAGCGTGCAGGTGGGCATCATGCAGATTTTTTTTTTTTGAGACAGGGTCTTGTTATGCAGTTCAGGCTGGCCTTGAGCTCACTTTGTAGCCCAGGCTGATTTCAAACTCACAAGGATCCTCCTGCCTCAGCCTCCTGAGTGCTGGGATTACAGGCATGCACCACCAACTCCGGCTTCCCCCTCATATTTTTTTTTCTGTTTGTTTTTGTTTTTGGTTTTTTTTTCTGGTACCAGGGATTGAACTCATGACCTTGCACTTGCTGGGCAGGTGCAGTGCCACTGAGCTAAACCCCCAGTACCCCCCTCATTTTTAAAGTACCCTGGATGCTCTGTACTTCCTGTGTCCCTTTCCTCAGTAGCCTCTATTCTTGATTCAGTCTCAAGTCACCTCCCTCCTACCACGTCAAGGACATCCCTATAGCCGAGCTCATCGATGCATTTTCTTTTTTTCCTTCTCCTGTACTTGGGCTTGAACCCAGGGTCTTTTCACTAAGCTACATCCCCAGCCCTTTTTATTAAAATTTGAGGCACAGTCTCCCTAAATTGCCCAGGCTAGGTTAGAATTTGCAGTCTTCCTGCCTCAGCCTCCCAGAGTGCTGGGATTACAGGTGGGTACCACCAGACCTGGTTCCATCAACCACTTTCTTTTTTTTTTTTTTTTTTTGGTTTTTGTTCGGTACCGGGAACTGAACTCACGACCTTGCGCATGCCAGGCAGGCGCTTTTGCCGCTGAGCTAAATCCCCAGCCCCCCATCAACCACTTTCTGACTGCAAGGGCTCCTCCTTTTCACATTCCATACCACTGGTCACTCTCTCTTTTGGCCAAATAGACACCAGAGCCCAGGCATTTCATAGTTATCAGGTTGAGAAACATTAAAAAAATCAGATAATAGGGGCTGGGGATTTAGCTCAGTGGCACAGCGCCTGCCTGGCAAGCACAAGGTCATGAGTTCGATTCCAGGTACTGGAAAACAAACAAACAAACAAAAAAATCAGATATTATGCTGGAGATATAGCTCAGCAGCATTAAGCGCCTGCCTGGCAAGTGCAAGGTCCTGAGTTCGTTTCCCAGTTAAAAAAAAAAAAATCAGATAACACCAAGTGTGGGTGAAGGTGGGGTGAACCAGGGAACACCTAAGCACTCCTGGTGGGAGAGAGAATCCACTCACTTTGGAAAGCAGTTTGACAATGGAGTGATTCAAAGGTGCTCCCATCACCACTCCCCACCCTCCTTCCTCCCGTCCCCAGGAGACAGAATAGCACCCTCAGCAAAAGAAGCACATGCTAACTCCGGACCTGTAATGATGTGACTCTGAGCGGCAGAAGGGACTTTGCAGATGCCATTAAGGATCTTGAGGTGGAGAAAGATGATCCTGGATCATCCAGGAGGGTCAGATGTCATCACATGGGTCCTCAGAAGGACGGTCAGAGCCAGAAGGTGTTGGGACAATGAGAGCAGAGCGTCATGGTCAGGGAGAGATTTAAAGATGCTACATTGCTGGCTTTTGTTCGTCTTTTGGAACACAGCTAAGACAGAGTCTCACTCTGTAGCACAGGCTGGCCTCGAAGTCACGATCCTCCTGCCTCAGCCATGCCTAGCACATTGCTGGTTTTTGTGCTGGTTCATAGCAGCAGTACTGGTAATGGCAAAAAAAAAAAAAAAAAAAAAAAGCCAAAGGTACAAAGAGGAGAAATGCAAAGAGATTGCTGTCTCTATACACTGGAGAACTTGGTCCCACCCAGCAAGGGAAATGAGCGGACTGCAGCCGCACCTGTGAATTTGGTTGAATCTCACAAACACTGAGTGAAGAAAGAGTCCCAGAGCCTGATGCAGTGGTGCATGCCTCTAACCCCAATGTGGGGAACTCAGCAAGACACTGTCTCAAAATTTAAAAAGGGAAAGAAGGCTGGGGGAGGTGGGGCTGTAGCTCTGGTGAGGCCCTGAGCTCAATTCCTATCACCATATACAGATGAAAATTAAAAGGTAGGGGGAAAAAAGGCCTCAGAAAAATATGTTTCATAGACTACTGCTGGTTTTTTGTCGTTATTGTTTTGTTTTATTTTTGCAGTATTGAGGATTGAACCCAGGCCACTTTTTATTTTTTATTTTGAGACAAGGTCTCATGAAGTTGCTAAATTGATCAGGTTAAGCACAAATTTATGAACCTCCTGACTCTGCCTCCCACAGAGCTGGAATTACAGATATGCACCACCATAACTGGCTCTACTGTTTCTATAAATATCAGAAGCAGGCAAAATGATGTGTCGCTTGAAGATAAATACACAGTAAAAAGGTGAGAACAGTAAACATTGAGTTCAAGGCTGGGTGCCAGGCAGAAAGGAATAGAATTGGGGTGGAGATGCTAAAGACTTTTTTTTTTTCTTTTTTTCTGGTACCGGGAACCGAACCCACGACCTTGTGCTTTTCAGGCAGGCACTGTGCCGCTGAGCTAAATCCCCAGCCCCCAGATGCTAAAGACTTTGGTGGCAAGGATGGTTTGATCTCATAAACTGGGCAAAGGCCCAGAGGTGTACACTATATTACTCTTTCTGCTTTTTGATATGTCTGAGACCTTGTACAAAACTAAGAATTTTTGAAGGTCATGGGGCTGGGGATTTAGCTCAGTGGCACAGCACCTGCCTGGCAAGTGCAAGATCATGAGTTCAATTCCTGATACCAGAAGAGAAACAAACAAACAAAAACAAAAAAAAAAAGAATTTTTGAGGGTCAAATTGGAGAACTTAGTTTTGGAATTGGAGAGTCTTGGGTCCCATTCTGCATTCTGCCACTTCCTGAGTTGAGCCAAAGGTAAAATTCCTGGGCTGGGGATACAGCTGAGTGGCACAAACTCCTGCCTGACAAGCACAAGGTCCTGAGTATAGGTCTCAGTAGCAGAAAAAAAAAATGTTAAGTTCCTGCAGCCTCAGATCTATCTATCATCTGTAAAAGGGGTGGATGAAGGATTAGAGGAGTTAGCTGGGCATTGTGCCACATGTCTGCCATCCCAGCATTTAGGAGGTTGAGGCAAGAGAATAACCACAAGTTCAAGGTGAGCCTGGTTTACATAGTGTGCTCAAGGCCAACCCGAACTATATAGAAAGAACCCTGAGTGCTTCTTTTTTTTTTTTTTTTTTCCAGTACCAGGAATTGAACTCACGACCTCATGCTTGCCAGGCAGGTGCTGTGCCACTGAGCTAAATCCCCAGCCCCTAAGAATCCTGAGTCAAAAAAAAAAAATTAGAAGAGTTGCAGGTCATAAACAGCAGCTGAGATGGGTTTCTGTCTTTCTTTGGAAATTCCCTGGATTTTAGTTGGTAGAGTGTCTGCCCCTGCCAGGATTTGCAGGCTTGTGTGAAGGAAACACTTCATCCTCATGATTCTGCTGCCTGGTTCCATCTCTGAATGTGTTATGCTGTAACCTTCCTGCCCTTAAAAGTGCTTTATTGAGATAT